TGATGTAAACGAGGGTGGAACTCCTTATATGGGCATTTCTCCCGGAAGAGTGCGTCCGCACACACATCGAACAGAGCGAGAGCAAAAGCGCGCCCATCAACGCGCTTCATTCAGCAGCGCTGCACGGGACTCGCTCGGGAAGAATGACTCCAAAGAAGTGTGTTTTTGGTTGTAAGGGAAAGATATCTTTGTTCAGCTTCCTAAGGAACCCAGCGTTATGTAAACAGTGGATGCAGTTTGTTTTTTCCGGGGCAGCAACAGAGTTTCACAAGTGTGTTTGTTGACGAACGTTTTATAAACAAGGCCCAGTTCGACGCTGTATTTGCACATCGTTTGATACTGAAAGATGGAGCAGTCTCAGCTATAAAAATCCCAGTCATGATTCAGAACTGCAGACGGTATGTGAAACTACATCAAATTTCTGTGTTTTTTTGCCAATCGGAGCTCAAGTGCTCGTCAATCGTCAGCTCCGCCCACGCCGTGCCTCCCGGAGCTCGGCTGTTTACGGAGAGAATCGTATAGCTGGCCTTCATCACCGTCAGCTCATCTTCCTGCTGCTGCACCCGCAGCTCCAGAGACGACAGGCGGTCCTGCACATCTGATGTGCTCGCTGCAGAAATACTGTCATCTGCCAGAGAAAGAAAGAGTAAGATGCCTTTCTCATCATATAGTACAGATCCACAATATAGAAGTTGTCAGATATAATTTTTCTTCTATGGACAACAATATCAATGTCAATATAAATTAGTAAATTTGCCAATCGGAGCTCAAGTGCTCGTCAATCGTCAGCTCCGCCCACGCCGTGCCTCCCGGAGCTCGGCTGTTTACGGAGAGAATCGTATAGCTGTATCTTTCTTTTATAAATATGATAAAACTAAAGACTTTTTGGAGATATGAAGGATGCAGTACTACTCTATAGGTACTCAAGATTAACATGAGATTGGCAGAAGCTGTGTGTTTTGTCCCTTAAAAGTTACAAACGTTATTGCGTCAAAATCAGTGAATGGTTTTCTTTTTCTTTTGTTCTTAGATTAACATAATTGGCACAAACAGCAGCAGGTATACAGGCTGCTGTCACTTTAAGACCTAATGCAAGGCTCCAATATACTGATACAAGTTTTTTTTTTTTTTTCTCAACTGTTTATGTTCACTTAAGAAGAAAAACAACAACTGTATATTTTGCTAATTTTGTGTGTATTTGTTAAATGCAAGAAGATGTGAAAGAGAACATAATTCAGTATTTTCACACTATACAAGAGATAGCTTTTTGCATGCATGCTTTGGATGTGCGCAGCACAGATAACAGAAAGTCAGTGCCAAATTGAGTTCACCTTCATGTCGTCTTTCACTTGAATTGTTTAAAATCACATTAAAATGCACACACAAATCAATAAGCAGAATCGAAATGTGTCTTATTGAATCCACGGTTCTTTGAAATTTGGAACCAATTCTAAAACCAAACCCGTTCTCGATACCCAAACCTATTTACTCACCCTCATGTTTTTCAAACCTTTCTTCTGTGGAATATTTTGAAGAATCTTGGTAACCAAACAGTTTTGACTGTGTACGGACAAAAATAAAATAAAATAGACATTTCTCAAAGTATCTTATTTGATGTTTCACAGAAGAAATAAAGTTATTTAGAACAACAATAGGGGAGATTTTAAATTTTTGGCTGAACTTTCACTCTAAGTGCATTTCTTTGCAGCAGAAGTTTAGCAGTATTACTGGTGCTGCAGCACATTAGAGGACCTTCGTGTTGGTTTCTGGATGGGGGGCATTGGATGGTGCTGCAGGACTGCAGTCAGCTGCCAGGCGTTACTGTGGTTGGGATTTTGATTGCTGGACTGGTTCCCTGATCGAAGGGGCCCTGCATTCTGAGCTGCGGTTAGCTAGCTTAAGGGGCATAAAATACCATATAACAACTCAAACTCTCACACACCAACACATCTCCGATCCAAGCTTGAAACCAAACCATAGGACATTTTTACACTACTAATAAATCACTGACTGAGTGTACTCACACTCTCACCCACACAGAATTCACAAACAAAACACATGGGCACAAATACGAGAAGCTTATTACCACACTGCACGTCCAACTCTTGAAAAACCGGCAAATTCCCCACATAGCGCTAATGATAAGGGTGCCTGCAGTCTTAAGGTCACTGCAGAGCTCCGTGTGAAGATGGAGAGGAGGATCAGGAATGCCCTGGCACACACTCACACAAACCGACCCACAACCTCCTAACAGGAAGTCAGTGGGTAAATACCCAAACAAAACACGTCAAACAAGCCAACAAAGGGACCCTCTGTGCACTCTAACCCAGAGTCCATTATTAGACATGAAGCCAAGTACATTAACCAGATGCTAGGCCAACAGCTGAGCTAACCCGCTTTACAGTTAGCTGTTAGCACAAAGATCAATCGGTCCAATCTGGCAACTGCAGCCATGGTGAGAGTAACGATTTAACCGCTATCAAACTCCTGAAGCCCTAAGCCATTGCCTGCCATGAGTCAGAGATGCCAAGCGAGTGCAAAACTACTGATCGATATTTAGCCTAGTCGCATATCAAACCTCTCATTCCTGCCTCTGTGAATCGCAAATACTACCATTAAAAATGAATCACCTTCATAGTTGTGCCGTTTCTTTTCTTTATTTCCTTTTTAAAGTCTTGACATCTGAAGGCCAGATTATGGCAGTATTTCAAAGAATAATGTGAATATTGAAATATTCAATAATGTGAATATTTGATGCTATGAAAAGCATGAAAAGTGGTAAAACTGAATTTATTGTAGAAAATAGAAATGATGTGTTTGTACATTTTAGATTGATCATGGCAGCAGTAATTCATTAAATGATATATGCCATTTGGGGTCAGCAATACTTTTGTGGTTATGTTCATATAATACCTGCATTTATATATAATTAATCAATGTAATCAGCAAGTAGGGTTCGGCCGATAGACGATGCCATAACGATGTTGAGTCGGCATCGTGACCCCCGCCCCCCATTCCCCCCGCATCCCTATACCGTGTTCGGAAAGAAAATGACGTGTAGGCGGAACCCCTAAAGGGAATAAATACGAGATGGGAGAAAAATATATATTTATATACTATGGAGCGGCAGTACTTGCCACACATTTTACAAGATTATATGTTTGTCAGTGGTACTGAGGATCTGCAAATCATTCGCCATCATCCTCAGTCATCTCTCCTTACTCTGTTTATGTGGTAAGTGAAATTTTATGTACTGTAATGTAACAGGCAACCGTTACACCGTGTCTACACCAGACGCGGCAGTTGTCGTGTCGCGCGTGTTGCATCAGCTAAAGTCTGTCTACACTGGACGCGACAAAGCGACCGTTGAAAATCATTTGAAATTTGTGTCAGCACGTCATAAATAGAACGCGGCAGCAGTTTACTGTTGGGGATTTGTCGTGTCGTGTCGTGTCGTGCCGCACCGCATCCAGTGCAGACAGCATCACTGATTATAATAAGTTCTATAGACTGATCTATATATAATAAATCTCTATTATAGATCAGTGGTTCTATAGTATTTTGTTGCGCCACGCCGCTCGCATCCGGTGTAGACACGGTGTTCGGAATCGTGTTTTCCCTTATAAGGATTCACGCTTCGGGCACACCCCTAACTCTTCCCCCACACCCCTCCACCCACTCGCCCCCACCGATGTCATCGTCCATCGCGATGTTTCACTGTAGACATCGTCCGATGCCAATTATGTAGACATCGCCCAACCCTATCAGCAAGCAGAATTATTAGTGAATTCCTCTCTCCATAGTAATCACTAAAGCTTTCGATAAGTTGGGCGGTTTTTGAGGCAAAGTAGCCAAACAGAGTTTCTAGTTTGAAGAAATCTTCTGTGGAAGAACATACCTGAGGCACTAATATGGAGTTGCTCTTTCAGAAGATTGGCAATGATATTGCTTATCTCATGCTACAACTGAGAATTAACCATTTTAAACCAGTTAAGTAAAGTTTGTCCTATTCTCACAAAAGGTTTGCATTCCCCCGAAAAATGACTCTAAAACTGGTGATGGAAATAACATACTTTGTGGGTAAAATCTGTATGTCAATGCTTTTGCAAGCATACAAAACTTGTCTTGGGTAAAAGCAGAGCTTTGGAGAGAGAGAACGCAAAAGTTGAACTTATGCAAAGTTTACATGGGGGAACAAGTTTTGCTGAATTTTTGCTTGCTAAATCCAGTAATTTCTATAGAAATCCATGCGACTGTGAATTTTGTGGAGGGTGAAAGATTTCCCTACACAGATTTTGCAACAGGACTAACAGAAAGCTGCTTGTTTTGAATGTGTCTTCCATATGAGCTGTGCTTTATACAACAATACACTATTAACAAAAAACTGCTTTTTTTGCCTGCAAAATTCCACCAAACTTTTGATAATGTGAAGCCCATTATCTTTAAATAAACAAAACCAGTTGTGAGCCACTGAACTAAGGAACCTGAACATAAGTAAACATTCCCAAGTTACCACAAATACACCACTGGGGTGTATATATCCACCAGACACAAGTCCACTCACGCTAACGTTGCTCAACTGTTTTAACTTAGTCAAAAATTGACCAAGAAACTAAAAGCAAACATCTCAAGGTTGCAGGAAGTAGTCAATAAAATCCAAAGTCTGGAGGGCTGCGCAACGACACAATATTTCATTTGCTTTCTCTGGCCGCGGTTTCCTCCCTGTCTGCAGGTCCTTCCTCTCAAACCATCTTATCTCAGCAGCCCACGGAAATATGGAGAGGGCAAACGTTTATAATACAATGCATTTCTTTTAGAGGAAATCGCTTTGGGAGGTTGTTTGATACTGGCAGTGCATACGGAAAAAACGAGGGCAGAGGGAGCGCGCTAAATAGAAAGAGAAAGGGAGGGTTGGAAGGTGACGGAGTATCCCCAGGTAACCTCCACCAAATATATCAGCACTGTGACATTTCTCCAGAATGGGGTACCCCTAAATGTAGTATAAACGCGCCCTTTTCCACACTTCTACCCATGATTCCTTGCGGGCTAAGAGGAAGGAAGGCCTACGCACATGTTATATTTCACAATAGCTCGTCACACTCCTTAGTTTTCACCCCCACCCCTTCAGCACGTACACCTAAATGCCCACACACCTCCAACCTAACACACATCACCTCAGAATGCAACCAATATTATCTCGCATACAAGATGTGCAAACCTCGGACAACAGCCCAACATATGCTCATTCGCACAACTCCAGTGAGATTCTAGACTCAGTGCGGGACAATCCCATGTCACGTGGCCAGACTGCATGCTCGCAAGACTTGTTTTTGGCATGCTTCATTTTGACTGGATGTCTATGGAGGAAGTCCTCAGGATTTGATGGCAGATTTACAGCTGAGATAAGACTCAGTGGTGCAATCAGCCGCATTCAGGCTCTAGCCGCACACAAACACAACATTCACTAGCATTGATTGATGTGTCTTGTTAATGTTCACCATTTGCAACACTTATTGTTAACAGAAAGCCCTGATAATCTGTTGTGGTGTTTAGCTGTGAGCTTCCTGAGTACGAGATAAGGATTAGATGGAAGCATTGACTGGTCACACACAAAACTGGGTTGGACTT